CCCCACCATGCTCCCCAGGTGCGCCCCCCCCCCCCCCCCCAGCCGGCGATGGTGGGGAGCGCTGGGCACTCCTGGACTTCGCAGCAGCCCCACGGCCTTTCTGCTTTTCCCACCAGCGAGGCGGGAGGGCGGCGAGGGTGTCCGCGGCTCCTGGCCTCGCCCGCGCCACGACGGACCCCTGTTCCCAGGCGTCTCGGAACCGGGATTCCCGGGTCTCCCCTCAGTTTTGGGGCACTCAGGTCCGTTCCCACGGGAACGCTCCCAGCACAGCACAGCCCAGGGGCAGCTCCAGCACGGCGGCGGCACTAAGCCGGGCCAAGGACGAAGGCCCCGGGCCAGGCCCCATCGGACCTCAGCCCAGCGAGGACGCGCTGGTGCCAAAGGTGGCATTGAATACCTCTGCCTTTTCTGTCTCCTTTGCTACAAGATTCCCTGTCCCATTGACCTGAGGGCTTATGTATGGGGTTTTTTTTCCTAAATATTTTTCTAGTGCTGTGGGATGATGGTAGGTGTACACATGTGTCTATTTTTGTTTACTGTTTTTCTCTGCATGTGGCAATGCTAGTAACTAAACTTACTGAAGTGTCATAAGTAAATGTCTGTTAGAGACAAAGTACGAATTCTTTGTTTTCTATCCTTGTTTCATGTGCATATACCATGGTAAAAGTTGCTCTTCTTGAAAAGTTATTTTTCTTCTGCTACTTGAACTAATGTCGTTATTCTGCCTTGCACAGCTCTGGTGTTGCGGTGAGTGTTTTCTGAGTGATGTTTCGGAAGGTCTACCATCCTGCGCTAGAAGGTACTTGCTAAGGTTAGGAAGCCACAGTCAAACAATTTCACTTGGTTAGCTTGGTCTTCTCTGTTTTGAAGGAGATCTCTGTGTAGTATGTATTTTTATTCAGTATTTGATGTTGTGGTATGGTGTTAGAATAACACTGCTGCCAACTCCACCAAATAGTAAATATGGCTCTTGCCATAGGAGCTTTCATAAAAATATGTCAAGAATCTGTTTTCACAGATGTAAGGGAAAATGACATTTCTCTACTTTGTACCCTGTAACTTAAGAGAACAAGCACTAAGGTAGCTGGGAGACCATGAGGTCCAGCATTTCTTTTTCCACTGATGGTTTCACGTAACTCTGTTGTTAACTGCAGCCTCCTACCCCAGACTTAGAGGATATAATAGTGATTATTTCGCTTTCAGCTTTTTGGGGCTGGGTCCATCCTATGCAGGTGATATAAAACATTGATATGAACTTTTGGACTAACCTGTGCTCTCAGATTCAGGAACAAAAATCAAGAGTCCTCATTCCATGCGTATTTGTGATTTTCAAGAATGTAGATTCAGATCTTAGTGATGATATGTGTTGGATGGGGTAAAATGCAAATTGTGCCGGAGGAGCGGCTTCAAGGTGTACGTGTACCCGCAGCAGAAGGGGGAGAAAATCGCCGAGAGCTACCAGAACGTCCTGGCCGCCATCGAGGGCTCCCGCTTCTACACCTCCGACCCCGGGCAGGCCTGCCTCTTCGTCCTCAGCCTGGACACGCTGGACCGCGACCAACTCTCCCCCCAGTACGTGCACAACCTCCGCTCCAAGGTGCAGGGCCTCCACCTGTGGAACAACGGCAGAAACCACCTGATTTTTAATTTATACTCCGGCACCTGGCCCGACTACACCGAGGATGTGGGGTTCGACATCGGCCAGGCCATGCTGGCCAAGGCCAGCATCAGTACTGAAAACTTCAGACCCAACTTTGACGTTTCTATCCCGCTCTTTTCTAAGGATCATCCTAGGACAGGAGGGGAGAAGGGATTTTTGAGGTTTAACACCATCCCTCCTCTCAGGATGTACATGCTGGTATTCAAGGGGAAGAGGTACCTGACGGGGATAGGGTCAGACACCAGGAATG